GAAATCGACATTTTCAGTTAAATTGGGTATTATCAGTGAAACGGGATCTACAATCCCCTCCAATCGGTTTTTTAACATCTTATTTACTTACTTTCAATTTTATTGTGCCAATAGTTCCCTTTACACAGTCACTCCAACAACCTGTTTGAGTTTTTTAGCGAACATTCATTCGCGTGATTGCTCGTGTTCGTATTTGTTACAACGGAAAGAGCGGCCGTGTTAAGGCTAACACTGCCGTACGTTAATTACAACGCGGCTATGTGACAAAATAATTTTTGAGATATGAAAAACCATAACCCAGTTTTACAATAGGTACTGAAATTGTTGAATGATATTTTAGCTTTTCAAAAATGCAGCAAGGAAGCTTGGCATCCTTTCCACGGTGAGGCGTTACTTACACCGAGACAGTTGCTCCAGCTGTACCAAATACAAGTTCGGACGTGCAATGGTACTGCTGCCACTTTTGGGCTGGCTCTAACTAACAACCGTGCCAAAAGGCTTATAGGTGACTCAGAATTGGTGAAGGCGAAGCTGCAAAGCCTTGAACACCGCCGTAAGGGTGCCTGCTTATCTGTATTTTACCGGAAATATCACGGAGAGCGTGCGATGGAATTACACGATTTAATTCCGCCTTCCCCTTTCCATCATCGGGGGACTAGACGTAGGCTTGGGTTCCACCCCTATGTTGTCAATATTCCAAAGATTCGCACGAAGCGTTACGCTTCCACATTTATATGGCGAACGGCTGTGGAGTGGAATTCCCTGCCTGCAGACTTGTTCCCTGAACGTTATGACCTGGACCTTTTCAAGGCGGGAGTGGATAGGCATTTACACAAGCAGCCTGTGGGTGAAGTATACGCAGAGAACCTAAGGTAAAAATACATTAAGGGTGCAATATAACAACGCTTTTAGGATGCTGATGGGGCTGCCGCGACACTGTAGTGCATCCGGCATGTTCACGGAGGCGCACACAGATGGCTTTCATGCCATTATGCGCAAGAAGGCTGCCTCGCTTATGATGCGTGTGCGCGGCAGCGCTAATAGCATCCTAGCCGTTGTTGCCAATAGGCTGGACTGCCCCTACCAACTACATTGGGTGCAACTACACGTGCGTAGGGTAGTGGTCTAGACTTTCACTTCTTTTCACTAAAATTAAGTAATTTTGTATTGTACTAACCATAGCACGTAAGAAAAATTTACTGTATTACTAACGTTATTATTGATCATGGTCCGAAATAAATAATTCTATTCTATTCTATTATTTAGGTGTGCATGCTCGATCGTCGACCTCATCGTCACTTTCCATCAGGTGAGATGGAGGTCAAATGCGCACTTACATTTAATAAAAAAATTAAAAAAGCCAAGTATCATTAGGTAAGTTCCGATATATACGATACGTTAACTAACTTTGACGGTTTTGAAATAGAGAATTTCAACTCTATCATATGCTGTTTAAAATGGATATTTGACGGCAGAACAGCGCAGGATAGACCGCGTAAAGATGGCGCGCTAAATCGCACACGATAGCTGTATCACGCGTAATAGAGTGTCTGTGTAAAGCCCGCTAATATCTCGAAAGCTACCATAATGCAAATGTGTTAGTTATAACAAGGAGGGCAGAGTTGAACACGTACAGACTGCAGCAAATCAAGCTACACATTGTCGGAATTTGTTCCGTTGCGGTGAAGGCGATATTCGAACAAAAGTGTACAGCTTGATATACTGTTGACTGTTTGACTTTTGTTGAGAATTTGTATAAAAAATAAAAATGTTTTTTCAAAAAACTTTTCGGTTGTTGTTAGATGGGTTAAGAAGTCACCACAATTAATGAATCGCATTGCGCCAAACAGACGAACCTTCGTGTTACGTGTTGGCGATTCGAGAGAAAGTGAAACGCTTAAAGTCTTCTTCGCGTTTATTGTGGTATGGACCAGTTTTTGACCGCCTCAAGTCGATATTTAATTTTTTTTATGCTACTATGTGTTACGACGAGCAGTTATGCTCCTAATGGCAAACGACATGCCTACGCCTGTCCATAACAGTTGCAGTGTAACTGAACGCTTTAAATCGCAAAGATCTGAGGGGCACTGCCACTGCGTCTGTCACTCTAAGACATAAGTTTATAGGTTCTATATGCATGGAATTTCATTGGCATCAGGCCGCAGCGACCGCCCAGTTACCACGTTTTGTAATATATAATGAAAATAATGTACGTACATTAATGGCGAATCTGAATTCTATTTACTAGGCAGCAACATTTAAATTCCTCGGAATATTACAACCGCGTGGCCGCTGCGTAGACCAAAGCAAGCCTCTCATATAAGTTAAAACGTAAAAGCTAAATATATAGAGCGTATTTTGCCATATTCTTCTCTTAGTCGAATAAACTCGTCCTTACACTTCAATTATAGGCATATGGGACTTTTCATAAAGTTTATTACAATGTAAAAATTATTTATTTGTAGGAATGTTTGTAATTATAATGATATAAGTAGATATTAAATTAGGGATATAACTTTATAACTTCGAGTATACGGTGTTGATTTGCATTCTCGCCATATTTAAGAAATTAATAATAGAAATAATGCTAAATCATCTAAAAATATTCTGTTCAATATTCTGGCTAATAGTATCTAGTAAAGTTTTGTAAAATTGTTCCCAAGTGTGTTCACCGCAGAAGACAGTGACCCCGCCACTCGCTTCACTGAGGCATACGTAATCTTTCTCGATCGCTTATTAACCTTTTTTTTAAATCATATTTATGTACGTATTATATATACGATTATGTAGTATTGTTATAATTAACCAATTATGTACATTAGTTACAAAAGTGGACTGAAATAAGATATTTTTGTAACTTATATTTGGTATTTACCAACTTTACGTTACATGAAAGTAGTGCTAGAAGTACCTAGCTCCACAGATATGCAGAGTTTCGTTTCAACTTTGCACATTCTTCACAACAGAAAAAGCAGAAAGGAACCCGAGACGATTTTTGCGCGCAATTCTTCGACATTCGTAATCTACGTAAACTAAACGTTTCACATCATGCCATTAAAACGTACTTGATGGTACGTATGCGCGATGTCGACTGATGATCTACCAATCACGCGCTCGATACGATACTCCGCCCCGTCTCTACTCGTACCCTGCCACCAAATAAACCTAAAATGTATATTTTCTGCGCATACTGCGCGTAGGTCATTGATCAAATGGTTGCCGGTACCTGTGACACGTGTAGTGCAAGTAAACCTTTGGATCAAACTTGGTTACCACAATTAAAAAAAAAAGAATTTAGTAATTTTTTTTAATTTTTTTCTAGTGATTTGAGTTCAGTTTCGGATATAGAATGACCTTCGTAAATATGGCGAGAATGCAAATCAACACATTGTATAACCAGAAATAGAGACGAAATGTCATTTAATTTGTTTGAAAACTATTCTGCCAAATCATTACGGTGACAACTGCGCTGCGATTGGCCAGCCCGAATTCGAATCACTTCAAATCGACGAGTTTAACTTGAGCTTGAGTTTTGCTAGAATGGACGAAAATTGAAAAATTACATATTAAATTACCTATGAAATGTGATTCCGTTTGTTTTATAATTAGATGTTTTGCTGTTTTTCCCACACCGCCGAATGGAACACTCCCCATTGTTAGAGATATTATCTTTATTACAATAAATACAGAATATTTTTGGAATATACGGAGGCGTACACGCAGGTCAATTGTTGGCGCTGTACTATTTCAGCTTTCTAATTTGTGATTTCAGCGCACACGAGAGTTGATATTTAAAAGCGACATGAGGCCCATTTGCCTGATGAGTTGCCAGGGATGTAGGCCCACATTTCGTCTCTATTTCTGGTTATATACTCGATAATTTATATTTCTGACATATTTTTGTATGAACTTGTTTGTATATCGCATGTCAGAAATGTCTGTGAAATGAATGTGACACAGCATTCTATAAACATTACCATAAAGTATTGCACTTGCCATGTTTAAAGCAATAAATGATTTGAATTGACATTCAACTCACGTCTCGGGGTGACCGGGGCAGTGGCTCTGAGTTCTTTGCGACTGAAAGCTCTGAACGGCACTGCAGTTGTTATGGACAGGTTTTTCGCTTACCACCATGCACACGTCGTGTTCGTTTCCTCACTTGCTATCATAAAAAAATATTTCCTGCATGTCTGGCACACAATCTTACGCCGTTTGGCACATCCTTTCACCACGATGGCAAACATGGCCCAGAGTTCTAGGCTGGAAGTCCATGCCATTGATACGATAAAAAGAAGAATATAGGCTTCAGTATGGCACAGTACACCGTGAGATTTTCTAGTAAATTCAGCGTTAATAAAGCGCAGGCCACACCGCGAACAAAGCTAAACCAACTTAGCTCACGTAGCCGGGGCTTCTTTTCTTACTTCGGTTCACACTGCGAACTAAGCCAACCGAGCTAACTAAACTATCTCAACGATCCCGAGCCTTTCACCCCCGCACGTATCCATAGTCACTATTTACTGCGTATTTTTTAGCTTAGCTTTGCATGCAACTGTGTGACTTAAAGAAACCACCAGCTTAGTTGGCATAGAGTCTGACACGGTTTGCTAGAAGACGTCGGTTCGAATCCAGCCGGATCGAAGGATTTTTTTTCTAAGTGTTCGTCTTAATAAAATCTTTGTCTTAATAATTATAACAAACTACTGGAGTAATTTCACATAAAAATAATTAAATATCAATTCAATCAAAATTTTAGTTTTTATATATTTTTTTTATTGTGTTTCACTTGGGAACCTCTGCCATTAGTAGAGACCTTGTTTAGCGTAATATTTATTAACAGTTTTATTGATTTTTACTTTACGGAATAGATCATAAGCCAATGTACAAGCTAAGCAAAACAAACTGAGAAAGGGGAAGAACTCTTGAAAAAAGGCAAAGAGGCCAAAAGCCAAAGACAGAAAAATTATAATGAGTTGCAAAACGGAGGAGGAAAGGAGAAAAATAAAGGAAAGGTTTGAATGGTACAGGAAAGCAGTTGGTCTGACAGGAGGTTAGTAACAAGGATCCTCTCCTGATTCTGAAGGACGTTCTTTTGAAGGCTAAGCTAAGTTAGCTTAGCTGGCATAGTTGGTTGCAAGCAAATACGTGAGCTAAGCTAAGTTAGCTTCGCTTCGTTTGCGGTGTGACCAGCGCTTAAGTCTATGCCATCGATAGGATAAAAAGAAAATAGGCTTCAGTATGGCACAGTACACCGTGAGGTTTTCAAGTAAATTCAGCGTTAATAAGTGTGGTGACCTCCGTACCCGCCGACTATTGTATAACCGTTCACAGTAACTTGGGTATGTTGTGGATGATGTCGCGGTACCTGGCCAGCACGGGCGTGTAGATCCGCTCGTCGTCGGGGTAGGGGGTGGCGAGGGGCGCCACGGCCAGCTGCGGACTCGTCTCCGCCGAGCTGCACACCTGCGCGGCACGCATCGCTGCGCCGAAGAGTGCTGCGTTCGCGTGTTGCTCCTGCACAAATACAGGATTATTTGTATTTTTTTCTTTTAATACGTGTGACGAGACCTGTTTATCGCCGACCTCGAAGCCGAGGTACTGGCGGAGGTCCGCACCTACCGGCGGGGAATGAGGGACCGAGGCGAGCGACCCGCTCCCCAAGAGGTGGAGCGGGAGCGGGACCGGTGGAAAGAGGGCTTGGCGGATCCCCCCTATGGCGCTCGTACCATAGAGGCGATCCGCCCTATCCTCGTAGAGTGGGTAAACCGGTCCCACGGGCCACTGTCGTACCACCTTGTGCAGGTGCTGACCGGCCACGGCTGCTTCAGTCACTACCTGCACAAGGTGGCTAGGAGGGAAACGTCCCCGTCGTGCCACGAGTGCGGCGCTGCGGATGACACCGCGCAGCACACCCTAGAGGTGTGTAGCCGGTGGGATGAGCAGCGCCGCACTCTGACGGGGACTGTAGGGCAGGACCTCTCGCTGCCTGGGAGGCGGTGGCCTCCTTTTGCGCAGAGGTTATGTCGCAAAAGCAGGTCGCGGAGCGGGTGCGCGAGGATGCGGCAGACGCGCACCCGCTCCGGCGCAGACGTACGGGGAGAAGGCGAAGGCAGTTCGCTGCTCGCCTGATCCCCTAGTGAGACCAGCGACTTCTGGACAGGGACTCCGGAGTCTGCATTGCACGGCCTCACTCGTCTGGGGGGGCGGGTCGGAGGACAACCGACTCGCCCCTCCGTTGGCGCGGGAGCCCTGGCGTAAGCTAGGGCGGCCGGGCGGCGTCGTGGTGAATGTTCACTGATCCCACGGCGCCGACTCAACCGGCGAGAGGGAAATCCAGGGGGGTTTTAGTGGGGTAGGCCCTCTAGTCTGGAGGGAGAGTCCCCACATAACTCCTGAGTCTCCCTGGGCTCAGGGGTATCCATAAAGATTTCCCCCCGTCAAAAAAAAAAGAGTTATTGATCAGTTGTTTGTTCTTCAGGATCTGTTCCAAAACCTTGCACATGATGAAAGTGACGGCTATGGGGCGGTAATTAGTCGGGTCTGAACGGTCACCTTTTTTTTTGGGGACAGGTTGCACTTTAGTCCGGGGACACAACCTGAAGAGAACCACAGACGGTATAGCCGCGTTACAACAGGGGACAACTCAGGTGCGCAGTTTTTAAGAACAACCGTTGGGATGCCATCAGGACCACTAGCTTTCCGGACGTCAAGAGACTGCAGCTCCACACGCACAGCACGTTGTCTGATACGAATATCTGGCATCGTGTGGCCACAGAGAGGGAGAGTAGGTGGCGGTGTGTTATAGTCCTGGACTCGGGAATTGGAGGCAAAGAGATTTGCTAGGAGATCGGTTTTCTCTCTCAGCGGGTTGGCAGAAGCTTGACGTAACGGCCCTAGACTGCTAGACGCCAGTAGCTACGGCTACCCGAAGGATGCATTAGGAGCCCCTGGCCAACTCTTGCAATGCGCTGGGCACCCGCTCTAATGTACATCCTTTTGCAGGACGTTGTGATAGGTCGTCTTTAATTAGTTTATTTTGGGATTATGTAAAGCTCGCCCCCTGGTCCAAGCGCGGTATGCAGCTAGTTTGTTCTCAAAAGCCTATGCACACCCACAGTTGAACCAGCGATTATGCCTCCCATTACTGATGAGATGAGATTGCAGGAAATAGTATTCCATCACTAACAAGATTTCATCAACAACAGCAGTTGCACTACCTGTTGGATCCCTCTCACTAAAGCAGTGCTGCTGCCAAGAATGGGATACAAAGTAGGCCTGCAAGCTGTCCCAATGTGCTGATGTGTAATGCCAAATACGGCGTTTAACCTTTATGCTTGGCTTTGGCAGTACTTACGTAGAGCGTGGCTGTTGCACTTTAGCGGATACCAAACATCCGAAGTGGGGGCTTGGATCTCTATTTGATAACCATCTCCACGAGAAGACAACAGAAGGTCTAATAAGGAGGGCGCGTCACTGATTCTATCTGGAATTCGGGTGGGTTGGTTCACTAGATGAATGAGATCATTGTGTGAGGACTAATGCGTGGGCAGTTCTTCCAGCATGATCAGTTCTAGAGGAGTCTAACTATGACTCATGGTGAGCACTGAAGTCCCCCAAAATATACTAATTCCGTTGTGGGAAACTGCGCCTGCGCGTAATCTGCCACCCTATTAAGGTGGTCTATAAGCCTAGTTGTCTCTGTGTCACCGCGGTGGGATCGGTAGAGGCAGAGAATGAGAGCCCAGATCTACATGTACCCCAAGAATAGAGAAGGATGGGTTCTCCAAATGACGCAGATAGCGACAGCAAACATCCACCCGGACAAACAAGCAGACCCCGGCTTTCACTTTGAAGAACTGTTCAAGAATATGGCCAGGGTAGTTCAAGTGTTCATATCAGTCGGGTAGAGTATTTGCGTCTCCGTCAGAAACAACATTGTTGGTCGAGCTGTCTCGAGGTGTTGATGGAGGGCATTGAGCAATACAAGCGGTCAAGATGTGGTGTCTGTTACCCCAGAGATTTGCCTACAGACAAGTTGAGTTGATCTACCGCACGGATCTTCCGTGCGGTGCGGATACTTGGATTTTTCGTCACGCATACGGTGGTTACTAACCAGACAGGTTTTTAAGTTCTACCACCAGTAGAGCTGCTGTTAGCTTAATGTTCCCTTAGTCGTCTCCTACGACACCCACGGCAAGAGAAAGGGGCAGTGAATTGTATTCTAATCCGTCACCGCACGGGTAAATTCTACACACTAGCTGCTCAATTAAACAGAAACCAATACTGTAAAACCAGAAACAGAATCTTTTTGAAGATTTGTTACATAGTGCCATTGATACTGTTACATATTGTTGTTGTATTTTAATTAATTAATATTACTTACTTGTACGTAAACGGGGGTGTTGAAGACATCTGCAAATATCTGCAGAAGCTCCTTGTTGACGGAGGCGCCGCCCGTCGCGATCACGCGGGACGACGAGTCTGAAAAGCACGTCAAAATGTACACGCCCGGAAATATTTTAACTATATAAAAAAATTATCTGCATCGAAAAATATTCAACACAAGCGCAGCAACTTTATACGAATTAACCTTCACCGGATTCGCGGAGTAGCAAATTAATTTATTATATATTTAGTGGGACGTATAAATGGGTTGATGATAGTGACAAAGTACTGCCACCTTACCTATTTCTGCCGCCAAACAGTAATGTTAGCATTACTGCATTGCGGTTTTAAAGGGTGAGGGTTCTGGTGAAATTACAGGTACATGGGACTTATCAACTTATGTCTCAGGCTGACGGGCGCAGTGGCAGTGCCCCTCAGATCTTTGCGATTTAAAGCTCTGCACTGCAACTGTTATGGATAGGCACACGCCTATCCATAACAGTAGCAGCTAATAAGCTACACAGCGTACCATCAGGTGCACGACTTGTTCGTCCCGTCATTTGATATTATAAAAAATAATAATAATAAAAGTGATAGTAAAAAAATTACTTTGTTGTCATTAATTAGTATGAAAATCAATTTATATATATATTCAAAAATAGAAGAAACATAATAAACCTGTACCTAATTTGAACCCCATGTCTTCAGCATGCACTCTCCTGGCAATGGCTTGTCCTTCAAGTAAGGCTCGTGCTTCAAATTGAGGCGCAGGTTTCTCTACAGGTCGACCCGCCGCGTCGAACACCCAGCGGCCCGGTGCGCAACGGGGGACTATCTCCGCCGTGTCGAAGTAGATGCCTGAAGTAACAAACTTAATTATTATTTACGCACGCCTAGAAGATCTTAAATAACATTGTTTCAGTACATATTGCGACCATTAAGGCACATAAATTAATTTATTGGAGAAAACAGTTTGGCAAGAAGTTGACATTTGTAACAAAATTAATATAGGTTCCCTGCACTGTTGTGAGATTAGGCGATTTAGGCTACTTTGAGGGGTCGCGCGGCAATTAAAAAAGTGATCGGCGACTCGGCGATATTTAGGCTATGTTTGAAATAGGAGAAGGCGATTTTAGGCTACTTAATAAAATGTCTGAGGAATCACAAATTTTATTGGGGATTTCGTGGGGAATGGAGTTGTAAAATAACTCATTTGGGGGTTTGATTATTTTTACGTGTGGGGAATTAGGGAAATAAGAGATGTCCGGCTGCAATTTTTCTTGATTTTTAGGGATTTTATGACTTGGGCAAATATCGGCTACTTAACACACGTAAATTGGCGAATTAACTTCGCAAAAGTCTGGCAACACTGGTTCCGTGTCCGGCCAAACGTTCGGCATCAAACATATTGAAGGTATAATATACATTTATACACATGGGCGTGGATTGGCACATCAGAACGGTATCGGTTTCATACATTTGGTATGGTTATCCGGATGTAAATCCGGTTTTAATAAGTTAGTCAATAATGTAATATAATTTTATTAACAGGTTTCGAAATTATTGAGATATTCAGTTTATTTGATAATTACCCGATAGACATCCGATAATTATCCATGCTAATTTAAAGTTTCGTTGATATAATTTATGACTAAAAATGACAAAACTAAACAAACACGAAAAAAATGTTAGAGTAAATGACTTGGTTTGTGACTTTTTTCGAGATTGATATTTGACACGTGTGGATACGTCTCTGATAGCGCTAGCACTTTCAAATTCAAATTCAAATTATTTATTTCTCAGATAACAGGATCCATTAGTGTTAGTAAAAATAAAGAAACAAACTTATAGACTATTGTTAGTATGAAATTATAATTATAAATTACTTAGAAACTAAAATGTCATGTACTTACGAGGCATCTCGCGCGGAATCATTGTCCGTACGAGATGCCTCAGTATAGGCGCTCTGTGGTCGTTTGCAACAACTCTCAGAATGCTGTTGCCACTACCCCGGAGCCTACTAACCAAAGATGCTACCTTTCTACGCAAGACCGCATTAAAGCAACTTGTATGGAATAGAGCAAACATTGCAGAGGCACTGCAGTACCGGGGTAGTCTCAACATCATCCTGAACACGAAACTTTGTTGTCCCAATTAATTTTATAAATAAGGATAATGAAGAAGATAATTATCAAAGTATATTTATCAATATATAGCGTGTGACAGGCTTCCTCCTAGGCCAAGTCGAAGTAGACCCCCGGCTCGTTACCAGACGGATTGAACTCTGGTCTGCGTCGGTTGGTCCGGTTGCGCGCGCGCCATGTTGCCGTCCAGCGCGTGGAGTGTCGCATATGACACAGTCGGATATGATACGCGACGGCACTTGGACGCGCCCACCATTCACGCCTGTTTATCTTTTCGTATAATTTAGTATGTGTTGCACGTGTCCTATTTTTAACCGACTTCAAAAAAGGCGGAGGTTCTCAATTCGACTGTATGTTCTTTTTTTTGTATGTATGTTACGCGATGACTCCGGTATTTGTGAACCGATTTTCATGATTCTTTTTTTTTATGGAAAGGGGGTACTTCCATAGTGATCCCATTTCATTTTGAATAAAATCATCCACCTCAAAGGGTGGCTGTTCACGCATGAAGATTCATTTTTATAAATAGCGCCTAACTCTAATTTAGGAGCAATTATTTTAATGATTGATTTTGCTATTTCTCCAATTCAAGGCGTTTTTCTCTCAATATACTTTGAGTAGTGAGAACCGATTTTGTATTATTTCCAGTGTTAAGTCCTGTATAGTGGCGAACTAGTGGATATTTCAATAAAACTTAGCAAATAGACGTAATTCCACGTACTTTTAAGGTCGGTTTTTTTAGTACTCTGTACTGAGATTATTCTATACTGTGTATGTTGTCAGTCGTTAATAAACTGCGAGTGTCTAGACTAGTACTGTGTTTTATTTATGACATAGGGCAGCTAGAAATATAATTATCGTAATAATTGTCAACGATAATTATATCTTAGAAATCTGATTATTTATGATTTTTAACAATAATGACTAACTTTAAATAATAATTAACTGCCTACGTAACCGAATGGTAACC